GATCCCAATGTGATTTTGATCAGAAATGTTGCATTTAAATCATTTTAGGTTCTATGAGACACCATTTCCGCATTCTCAAAATTGCGTTGCTTTTTTATACGATACAGAAAAAGTCTGAGAAGATATATTCATGCTATGATGTTACAGTTAAAAATCTAAACTAAATCTATTCTTCTTGGAACCATATCTACAGCTGCTTTAACGAAATTTCACAAATCAAGTTCCTCCAGTATATCGTCTTTTTCCTCAGTCGAGACCGGTCCTTAATCAGTTTCAGCTACGAATTTAGCCTTTCTGAGAAAATGGTTTTTGTGGAAATTGGGGGGGGGGGCTCTTAATATAACTTGATATTTTTAAGAAAAAAATTTTGCAATAAAACCTCCCAAAACAAAACACAACGCCTCTGCGGAGGAGAGTGCTAGGGAATAGTCGCAAGGCTTGGAAAGGCTAGCATTTTATCGCCGGATTGTTTACATGAAATCTATCGCTATTATGAAATACTCGGTGAAGAACAATATGAATTACACACAAGATGGCTGTGGAGGAGGCTATGGAAGGGCATAATCTCATTATCAAGTAAATCAACTGCAATTCTGAGTTCTGACAGCAATCATGAGCAATTCTGCTTCGCACTTCGGGGGCGGAAATGGCTTTACTGGGGGTGGGGGGCAAATTATTTCCCTGGTGGGGGGCAATTGCCCCCCTCCCAGATATATAGTTAAAAAAGGCACTGAAACACCATCGTTACGTTTACATATTTTCAAATTTTCCACACAAAAAAGGGAGTAAAACTGGTCGTTTTTTTAAATATACTCGTTTGTACCTTTCGCATTGGGCACAACATCTTAAAATACATACCAACCTCGTTCCCAGGGCTTCAGTGTGAGGACGAGGCGAGACACGAGGAAGCCCTGGTCCGGGCCGGTCACGTGACGTCAAAAAATGGCAGTATTTGACAGCTACTCGTCAAGGAGTGGCGAGATATTCTTTGATGAAATATACAAGTCTTCGAAACAAATAAATAGCCAAAAGACTTCTCAATCGATATTATTTATGTGTAGAGCGAAGTTTGGCACGAATCAGCTAAAATCTATGAAGATCCCGTCTATGTTTTCTAAGATATACCGATATTTCTGGAGATTTTCAACCACAGGCAAAGCTCTGCATCCAAGCTGCATCTAGGCGTCTCCATGCAAGTGGTGATTCATACGAAATTTCCTTTCTCTCGTCTTGAACAATATGGCTATTGCTATAATTAATATTTAGTTTAAATATGCTCTTATAGATCTGACTTAGTTCAATATATTAAATAAACACAAATATAAACTGACCTCGCGTATTAACCTGTTTACGCTGCACAGGAATATACGGTTCGCTTGTTTCGCCGGACACCAACACTTGCCGTTCAGGAGCAATGCTTGCCTACAAATTTTATCCCCTTCACAATCTTTGTTTTATTTTATCGTATAGTCGCAATTTTCAAGTATTCGGGGTATTCTGAAACTGAAAAACTGGGTGGCGTGCGAATCTTGTAGAGACTACATCGGCCTAGGCGTAGAGCTATTAAGTAAACAGGGCATAAATTAATTTAGTAGTTTCATTTAATTGTTTGTCTTGCTTTTATTTGTCAGTACAGAATATTGTAAATTAAAATATTACTACAATGCAATACGCGTTGTATTCCATCAGACATCTGCACTAATAAATACTGTACAAGGAAAACTACAGCTTAAATAATACTAGACGTTTCTTGTTTTGTCAGGAAACATCACAGCTCACTTCGACATAGCCTGCGAACAGGCCCTGGGTTACGGGCGGCGCGAAGAATAGAGGGCCTGCACGGAACTATAGGTTTTCTTGGTAGTGGCGTTCGTATAGAAACGCAGGCTTCTGATTGGCTTACACTCGTTTGACAAAATTACTAAAAATAGCAAATGTCAACAACAGCATTTTGAAGAATTTGAACTTTATTAATTTTAATATTATATATTATAAGACTATCGAACAAATAAAACTAGAAATGGAAACCAAAAGCAATAGCAAAGCATCACAGCAAAAAAGTCTATCATAAATGACTTGAATCTATCGCTTAAATCCAATATACGAAACTATAACAGTATTCTGAACTTCGTCTTCGGATTGACATCAGACTATAGTATAGTGCATTTTGAGGTCGTCGTGGCTTCACGGATTATTCTCATTAGTGAGCAAGTCAGCAAGCGAAGGCATACAAAAGATACCCAAATATGTACGAATAATTATATTGTTGATCCTCGCTGGCATGTCATTTAGATAAATATATATCGTACATTAAACGTTGTACTATTTACTGTATAAACTGCTGACAATTTCGTCGTCGATATGGCTTCCACTATTGGCACACTCGTGATTTCGAAGAAATTAATAAATACATGCTCATTTATCATTTATTTAGACCACAGTTAGTAAAATTTTAGACGTATTCGGTATTCCAAATCCCAATCTATCTGACCGTATTTTAGTAATAGCTTCAAATATTCAGAACATTGTTCTTTCAGTCGCACATAGACATAGTACAAGTAGTACTGTTGTGCATGCAATGCCAATGGTAGTATTTTATTCGGCTTTATATTTGTATGTGTATTGATATCTATTTAATATTTGAAGAATTCTATATTTTTCTGAGTAATATATTGTGCGGCCCGCTAATGGTTTGTATTATTGTTCATATATACATTATGTATACATTTTAACATTCAGTATTTCTTCGTTGCACAATGTACACAGTACACGCCTTGCGTCAATTTGACAGTTGACAGTTTATTTATCGCAGTCGACGCTGATTGGTTCGCGTTTAGCAGATGCGAAAAGGGGATGATTGAATAAAACGCATGGTTCCGTGCAGGCTCACCTGTCTCCCAGTGAGCCTGTTCGCAGGCTAACTTCGACACGGCTTTTGAGTTTTGTAACCGGCCGAGGCGAAAGTAAATCATGCAGTCGGGAAAACGTCTTACTTTGAAAGATTATTTTGCAAAACATACTCGTACACACAAGAATCGTATAAAAATACAAATGTTGAATTGTTATTGTCAACTGTCAAGTTCAGTTATTTTTAGACAATATGGTGTTAGCCAATCAGAATGCAAAATTGACCGGCCCGGACCAGGGCTTCCTCGTATCTCGCCTCGTCCTCACACTGAAGCCCTGGGAACGAGGTTGAATACATACAAAATTGTTCTAGATCGAAATAAGCAACAAGAAACAAGCCGTTAAAGTTAACTACACAATGGCATCTGAATTTGGCTTGACAAGAAGCTTCCGCTTGTTTTCCCGCGTTTATTCCCGTTTCCTAGCTAGGATACGAGGCCCGATTGCGATTTATGAATAAGGTCTATCACAGGATATATTACGAAGAAAACAAGAAGAAATTAAGCTACGGAATAATACAAAAAATATATAAGTAATATGATGAAACAAGTGAGGAATAAAGTTAGGGAAGGACAGCTATAACTAAACATATAAGGGGCGACACAGGCAAAAAAGTTTGAAAAAATAATCGTACAGTTTGTCCCCCATCACTTTTCTAATGGTCCGTCCCTGAGAAAAAAGTTATTTATACCACATTGGCAAGTGAACAATTGACAAGCTTAGAAATGAGTCATTGCTACCAGAAATGGGACAGAGTGCTCGAATTTCTTGTCTGAAACTCTGTGATTGCCATGACTATTAAAATGTCTGGTAAGAGGTTGGGTGGCATCGTTACCAATGACAGCACACGGATGTTTACCAAACCTTGTCCTCAAAAGTCTTCAGGTTTCTCCGATATATCAAACAAGCCACATTTAGTGCACGAGATGCAGTAGATGAGATGGTATGCAGGAGGTGCACGTGAAATGGAACTTGACATGGCACTTAGATTTAGGTGCCTAAATGGTAGTAACGGATCTATGAATTCACAGGTTTTATATTGGGGCAACCAACAACGAAACGTGCCATTACCTGACAACAAATCCTCGGGCTATTCTATTTTAGTATAAACATACTAGTAGGCTATCATATTTCATGCGTTCTGATTGGCTACGCTACTAGTAGGCTATTAGTGATAGCCTACTAGTAGCAACAAGCGGCGAAAAGTGCGAGAGTCAATTGCCGTTTTTAAGTATTAAAAGCTTCATTTCAAGGGGAAAAGCTTATCACAATGGCCTAATTTTGGTTCTGGACTACACACAAACAAAGACTTTTGGAAACTGCTGACACATACGGTAAAATTTTAAAGTTTTTTTTCGTTTAAATGTCGAAATTTTAGTCGAGTTTGTTTTTCGCCTTTTTTGAGCCTTTTTAATCGAGTTTTTAAATTCGATTACATTTTAAGCTAAACTTTTGAATATGTATACTAGATGATGGAAATGGTTTGCCTCTTTATTTTTCCAGATATTTTACAGATTTTAACGACATTCGTGTTCTTTTGCCAGCATTTTTATTTTGCTTTTTACTAGTAACAATTCGGGAAGCCATTCTGTGTTTGAAATTTTGGACATTTTAAGCCTTGTTTCCTTCTTTTAATTAGCCGAACTTTGCTTGTATAACGACTCCTCACTATTATACTGTATTACGACATGTTTTTTAACTTTTTTAAAACTCACAAATAGTATTTTTCAAGTCATTCTTGAGAGTTCGCAACACTGAGTAGTTGTCAACAAGGCCTCGTTGTCTCTGAGCGAATAGTCAACTCGGCTTCGCCTCGTTGACTATTCGCTCATAGACAACTCGGCTTCGTTGTCTATTAATTGTTAAATACCGCGTGCACCAGTATAAAAGCACATGTATTTCACCGACCATGTTACTAAGCTCGAAACGTCGAAGTTTTACTTGTATTTTTCAAGTAGTTGAATCCCTTTCCATCTCAATTTTCTGATGTATTTGTCACTACCTATACACTGGCACAGATTGTCCAAAAAATAAACTCTACAATTTGGTTAATATTTACCACACAATAAATCGACTCCGTAATAGTTCTTCTTCTCGCAAACCATAATGGTTAGGAAAAGGACCCGTTCGGTCCAAGTTAAAGTGCGGGGAAATACATGCACACGTCGCTTAAATTGTAGAGTAAATCATTAACTTTAACCGTCTATAGTCAACGCAAAAACTATACGTGCATGCTATACGAAAAAAAACCTACGAAAAATATCTTTGTATGGTTCAGACTCAGTTAAAGAACGTTTTATAGAATAAATTTATAGACAGTCACATCTGGTTCATTTTCTTGCATAATACTACTTCTTGCACATGTAGACTGTAATTATTTTTAGTTTTTAGGTTGTCGCATTCATTATTTCGCTTTCATTTTCACAGAAAAGGCAAAACATCGAAGTCGATCCTTGTCGCTTCCATTTTGAGTTTTTGACAACCTTCGGAATACTTGACACCACGTTCGCAAGGCAAATTTCAGTAACGTTGACGCATGCGCAGACGTTTTTCCGCGATGTTCTTGACACCACGTTCGCAAGGCAAATTTCAGTAGGGTTGACGCATGCGCAGACGTTTTGGGATCCGGTGTCGGATGAATATCCACGGCGTTAATAATTTATTGCCTCCCTTAAAATTATACCCTGTACAAATATTATATAATTGTTGTATAGAACAACCTCCAGACTCAATAAATATATGAAGCTTAACATCGGTAAATGTAAGGAAATGGTAATTGACTTTGCAAGAGAAAAACATGAGTTCTTACCGTTAACTATAAATAACGTTGGTATTGAGCGGGTAAAATCTGCCCGAATTCTTGGTCTTTCAAGTCAAGATGATTTGAAATGGAACGAGCATGTGAACCATATTGTTAAAAAAGCGGGAAAACGCCTTTATATGCTAAGGTTTTAAAACGATCAAATGTCGACAATAGCATTCTAATTTTGGTATACTGCATCATTATCAGACCAGTACTCGAATATGCCTGCCAAGTTTGGCAATTGAAGTTTTTTCAATTGAAGTTATGAATAATTTTATGCATTTAGATATATTGTAGTATAATGAGACTTTTTTACTGATGTAATTTAACTAAAGGTTACAAATCGGTAATTTTATTAAATTATTAAATATATTCAAATTTGTCCGTGATGCTAATTTTATCAAGCTGACTGACCTTATCGCCAAATACCGGTCGAATGAGCTCACTCATTATTTTGACTGGTTCTTTAGTTCTTTCCATTGCCACCGCTTGATGAAGCACCAGGATGGAGACCAAAAGCCAAAGCATCTTCATTGCTAAACAACACGATTTTAAAGACTTTTTTATACAATTAAGATTATCACATTAAAAATCACACACAGAATCCTCCGCAGATAACTAGGTGGAAAACAACGGCAAATTGCACAAAATGATCCATGTTACTCCTATCTTTCTCTATAAAGTGTTGCGTATCATATAAGTGAAACACGCAATCTGATTGGTCAATACCCGTGCAGGATGAGACTATCCTGCACGGAAAATTTAAATGCCTTCCGCGGGGTTTTCAAAATGTCGGAGAACGAAAACATTTCAATGCGTGAAATAAACAATAACAGTATATTAACCGAGCGGCAAGTTCACCAAAACAGTGAACAAAGGTTTACAATAACTACAGAGAGTGAATTACTGTAACTTGACCATTGTTAAACTGTATACGTAGTTATTTTATAAAACAATTACTGACACCGACTCCGACACCGACACCGACACCGACACCGACACCGACACTCATGCTGATATAAATAACATGTTCCAAGACAACGTACGCGACTGCGATGAGGAACAGGACTTTCGTCCCAATTAATAATACCCGACTCCTAAAGTTTGGAAATGAGGTGCATTTCATGTCTTTCGCGCATATCTAATTTTAGTGTGCAGTGACAACCAATTTGTGCAGTGATAAAAGTAAAATGTGCAGTGATAAAATTTGCTGTGATAAGTTGTTAATTTTAAACAGGAAAATGAGGCAATGAATAAAAAAACTGAACTAAAAATTAGTCTTGCCACTTGATAGTATTAATCAAAACATTTTGAATACGAATAATTAGAATGAAATTGAAATTGATAACTGCCAAATTATCGAACGTCCGCACTAATATTATACTTAAGGTTCATCAGATGAAGAAAGTATCCTACCAAAGATCTCTATGAGCTTGGAAGATGGAGTGAATGTACTTTCCGTAATTGCTGAAGAATTCTATAGAATGTCCTGCAGATTGCAGGGAATGCCCTTTCAGAGAGTCTAGATTACAAAATTTTCTATTGGTGCATCCCCGGGAACCCCTCTAGAGGTTTGTCACGCCTAAGCTGCCTTTCATTTGCTAAGACGGAAATATTTCTTTCCTGCAAGCATGTGATTATGATACTATGATACTATGATACTATGTTGTCATAGATAGTCGTAACTTCAGGTGCTGTCAAGGCCGCCCAGAGGAGTGGAGGAGGCAATTTGCCCTGGGGTACAAGTTAAAGGGCTGGGGGGGGGGGGCAAATAAAGAATTACAGTGAAATATATAGATACTGATAACTGTCAACTAGACTTCCAGAATGCAGGATTTGGCCATTTCTGGGACCTCAGATTTAAAAATTTTCCCGAGGAGAATTCCGACCCCAATCATAGTGTTTCAAGATGAAATCACACTCAATCACGAGGGGCTCCAAGTCAAATTTTGCCCTGGGCCCCCAAATTTCCCTGGGAAACCCTGGGTGCTGAGCAGTGTATGTTGAATATGAATTGTAGTTATGTGAAATAGGTAGACAAAGTTTGTGGTTACACATTATTATAAGAGTGTGTTCAGAAATTTTTAGGTGCACAAAATTGGGCAGTGATAAAAAAATTATTAAAATTAGGCATGCTTTCGCGGCTATAATTACCAGCAATGGGACAGAGGACTCAAATTTGAAACGTAGTGCAAAACGTTGATGCCACAAAGGTTCGATTTTACATTAAATTGAAACTTAATTATAGAATCCTTAATGACATGCACTTTTCAATTAATGAATCTATAGAAAAACTACTAAACTTTAATTGTTTGCCATTTCGTACAAAACAGTGACAATGTCAATTCGTATCATGCTCTATACCATGCAGGCATGGCTACCACTGAATGCTACAAATCGTTTAGTCTGCGGTTTCCTAAATATAGTTACTTCACGTTAGGAACACTGGGTGTGGAGTATACCCCTCCCCTCCCTCCCCGGACATTTGTTCACAAGTAATTCCAGGTAAATTTAGAGGTGACTTGAACTGATTTTCACAAACATTATAACAGCATTGACAGGGAAACGTGAAAGTTAAAAGTGAAAGCAAGCTCTAAAGTCAAAAGTGAACTTAAGCTTTGTATTTTAATTTAATTGCTTTTCTCTTCTGTGGGGGGGGGGGGCAGTGGGACTTTGTCCTGTGACTGTCTCCTGTCACACATTTGTTTTGTCATTCGTTATACGTCTCATTTGTATTGTATTTTGTCTACGTAACAAATTAATTAAATTAAAGCAAAATTTTACTTGCATATTCGGGCTTTCTGTGGGTCAAAATATTAAAAATGTTCTCGGGGGAGCATTACCCCAACCCCCTATTAAATATATCCCCCTGTACTCATGAAAAAACCACACTATAGTTCAAACACAGATTTTAGGTAAAGTAAAACGTAATTTTAAAAATCATTTAAAAGTCCTCCCCCAACGACAACGTCTTCGCCGCCTCCCTCAGTATATGTACAATAAGTAACGTAGATATAGCACTAAGAATCTAAAGCCCCGTTTACACTACGCTCAATTTTTGGTACGGCACGGATAAAATTGGTACCCGTACCACTTTTTTGGTTCTTGGACTACCTATTTAGGTAGTCCGAGAACCAAAAGGTGGTACGGTACCAAAAATTGAGCGTAGTATAAACGGGGCTTAGCTAAATAGGTAGTCTAAGAACCAAAAAAGTGGTACGGGTACCAATTTTATCCGTGCCGTACCAAAAATTGAGCGTAGTGTAAACGGCGCTTAAGACTAACTTGAAACCATTAAGGTGCTCTCGGCTCGACAGTTACCCTCCAGTCGTGATAGCAAGCGTTTCTGGTATTTTAATATCCGATAAAATTCAAAATTGTGTTGAAAAGGTAAGCTTTTAAAAAGGCATGCATAAAAAGGTTATGTCTGGAGTGCTGCTACGTCTGAAAGTAATTTAATATAGGGTTTATAGTTAGATTGCGGATTGTAACCTCAGAACGTAACCTCATTGCGTTGTCAGTATAAATTCGTAAACAATATCTTTTGTACTTGTTAGTTTATGGTTACCCGTAATAGAGCTCTGTGGGACTAGCCTGTCACATTTGACAAAGATTGTAAATCATGCATGAGTCACGCGCTTTCCTCAATTTCCTCAATCTAATGCGATTGCCCTTTTTCAAACTGCATTCTAAATCAGTCACAAGACATCACAGGTCAATGAACATCTAAAACACAATACGCCCCCTGCTTGCTATCTGCAATTCGTGAGAAATTTATATTCTAGATAAGATTAGCCGCGTAACGAAAACAGACTGAATATAAACAAACGTTAATTGTACCATTATACATCCGTTTGAAAAATATATAAAACTTTGCTTTTCTATTTCCTGTATGTGCAACAAGAATTAATAAATAGATATTGTGTCATGCTTGAAAGACATTTATGCCAACAGTTTTATAAATAGCGCCTAGCTGCGTGCAGCCTGAATTCGGGCTGCGATCAAGCTATTTCACGGGCAAACAAAAATAAAACTGATTTTGCACATGTTGCACAACTTGTGGACTTCCTGAATAATTATAATTAATCCAATTCAAGCACGTGTACAAATCATATAATATCAATAAACTCTTATCGCTTACGTATATTTTCTTGCATAATATTCATAATATTTTCTTGCACTTTCATCATAATCGAATTGGAAATCGAAATTCGAAACCTTAAAATGAAACTATAAGTACGATAGTTTACAGTGTCAACAGCAAGATTGAAGTAAAAAAACATTGAAATGGACTTTAGCTTTGCTGAATATGTGATCGTTGTTTTTATTTCCTGACACGGTTGAGATGACAAATTGAGACAATTGAGCGTTCAGAATTCGCAGCACCTAATTATGGTTTCATTTTGAAAGGTTACCCAAGTTGACGAAATTAGTGACGAAATTCACCATTAATTGGATTACAACACAAGAACTGCATCTCAATTTCACAAGTCTTACAAGAACAAATTATGCAAAGCACACCATTCCTGACAAAGGAGTTTTAATAGTACCTAGAATAACTTAGATTGTAACAACTCAAACACCTAAAGTCATGCTGCACATTTAGTCATTTAGATCATACGTTATCACACTTCTGTAAATAGAATCCGCGTTCAATATCAAAAGTATACATTTCTACATATGCTTCTAAAGTATACTACCTTAGGCAATGCTGTTTCGAAACGTGCCACGTTGTACGTTGTTTCTGGCTTTACCACTGCTTGCGTGCTTGCGCAGTTGCATGGGTTTGTGAAAATTAAAAATCGCAGCACTATATAGATTATAGTCCTCGGGAATGCTCAGTTAAAATGCGAGCTACTGTAAAAAACTCACTAGCATGACCTATTTCACGAATTAATCGCACATTTCCTTTATTTTCCCTGAGGGTATCTTGTTTAGACAAAGCTAGGAGTCGGACCAGTCGGTGAGTGCGTTCTTGCCCTTGAAGTAACTAGAATCCGAATCGAGGCACTCGTCAATATACATATACCGTACAAAACGAGCTTAGTTACAAAACTGTCGACAAAACCAACGCAACCATTTGAAGAGGTTTAGTAGCCTGACTGAATATATAATATATATATACTATAGGAACCTGTTGGGACTTGTATCGGTTATAATAATCTCCAGACTGTAGCTGAACCTGCATGTGTTCATTGTTTCATCATGAGCTAAATTGACCAATGTAACCACCATATATAGCTCCGAATTTACATTAAGTTCGAACGATTACCATGATGATATAATTAAAATTTGCCAATTCGGCATTTCTCTAAACTTGGACTTGTCGACTAATCTCCAGCGCCCAGGCAAGCACGCATATCGCCATATGGAAGCTAGATAACGCTAAACATTTTTCCAAAATCTGCGAAAGCGGTTGGATAGAACGACAGAGGAAACATCGAACATTTGCGCAAGTACACAGTCAGACAATTGCATTTATTCAGTAATATTATAGTTTAAATTAAACAACACCAGAAAATTTAATATCGTTGGATATATGTTGCAAAGTGAAACACTTCATAATCAAACACTTGAAATGTGAGCTTGTAAAGGTATACGCAAGTTTTGTATAAGTATATATCCACCACGTATACTTCATTTTTGTAAAATGCTATGAAAAATTTGGACTTACCTGTCATGTGATGTTCGTATGATTCACCGCCAAGGTCGAACAACGAATGAGGAACCAACCTGTTGACACAAACACTTCATACATAAAATAATTGTTGCACAATGCAGGCACGTGACCAACGCCCACAAGCATTGTGAAGGTATCCCGTCGTGTGTGCTGACGTACTTGCATAAAAAGACATTTGTCAAATAAATTTTCAGTCCGAGTAGCCGACCGAAAATTTATTTGACGAATGTTGTCACATAGGGACTTCACTCGAAACATCGAAATTCTCCTTATATATTTTAATGTTGTTGCATCCCTACCAACGAAAGCTTGTACATATTCTACACACGTTTCGTAGTGGTGGTTTTTTAAAATGTTTCACCTATGCACGTATTAAACTCACAAGGGACACATGCTTGCAAGACATAACAGGGTCTTATTGCAAATTATAACGATGAACCAAAATAATACATCTTTCAAAAGTGTAAATTAACATTGAAGGAGGTGATTTGCATATCAAGCTAAGATCGTCTGAAAACAATGATCCCGCATGGCCTCGCTGCCAGTAATCGTATCGCCAGGATCCAAGTAATACAAATGTCCCGTTAAATAAGCAAAGACTTTAATATGCATGATAATATTTACATATTTTTCCTTATATTAATTTAGCGAAAAGAAGGCTTTTACTTAAGGGCTACTACTCAGGCTTTTTACTTTAGGCCCCTTATTTAAAGTTCGTATTTAATAATTAACTATTAGATTAATAACATATTTAAAGTCAAATCAAAAAGATATTATTTTCAGAATAAATCAGGAACGATAAATTAAAGTGGAAATTAAATAGGTATGTTGCGAGATACATGTACAGGATATGCAAATAGAATATTCACTGACGGCTGAATTTCGCCGACGTCAGTACCATACGAGGTTCAGAATGTTTTCAGAGTAATCAGAGACGTATCATGCCGTGTTCATCAAAAAATGCTGCTTAATTTGTTTTATGAAGACGTGTTATTGAGAAAATATATCTTTAATTTTTATTTTAGTGAGTCCATACATCAACTCCGTTATCCCCGAGCCACGCGTAGGGCGAAACCCGTGGCAAGGGTATAAATTCCGCTCGGCTATTTACACCCGGGGAAAGGAAAGCATTAGCGAAGTCTAAAGTTCATCAATGATCGCTGGCGCATGGCTATGAATGGGTGGTCATCTCACTGATCTAAAAAATATAGCTGTTTGCTAGGAGTGAAGCAAGCATGGCAAAGATTAAAAAAACATGCATGACAGAAAGCTTCAGACATCTTTTTACACAATAAGTTATAAATCACCTTTTTCAAATTTTTAAGAAAGTGTGAGAAATCCTGACGTGCAGGGTAAGTTTGTTTTTACTGTTTATGTATGACTTTGCTGCATGTCCAGTTTTCGCACTTTTCGCCTGAAGGCCTTCAACTCATGTCCAGTCCTTTTCATTCTATAAGAAAATTATTTTCAAGAGCTGCCTGTAGGATTTAAATTTATTTCATTACAAAGTACGAGTAATATTAAAGTTGAAGAGTTTATCGGCAAAAAGCAGTTAATTTCACTGAACATTTAAAAACGTTTACGAAGCCAGTGGCGTAACTCCTATGAGCTCTACCCGGTAAGAGCCGGGGGCACCCAGGCTTCCAGGGGGGCACCCTGAACTGAGTTGTCCGGGGGCCTTGTTCATCTAAGGTTGTGGCAAACATTTCACTGTTTATGTCAAAAACAATTTCTGCATGGTGTTATTTCTGCATAGTTGTGGTTTTTTTGTTGTATATTTTGCTATATATTTATATTTCCAGTTCAAGATACCATTAAAATTCGCTTCTAACCGACCATGCAGCAAAATGTTCATATTGTAAGAGCTTCATAGTACTTCAGAAGGATGTAGGATACCCTTGTCTTGGGGCACCCAATTCCGTTAGGACCAGGGGCAGGCTGGCCCAAACTTACGCCCCTGTACAAAGCCTTTCGTGTTCGCCGGAATTTTGCGGCATTAAGCCGCATTATAATAAAGCCCGGCATACAAAGCAAATGAACATACCTACTTTATATATGTTAGAAATCGATAGTTCTGTGGTTATAAGTGTAAAACATTAATTTATTTTTGCCGTTTTGAACAAAAAACTTGTAGGAAAACAATTATTGTGTTGCCATGGCTAACATGACGAGCAATGCGAGCCTGCGTTCCGTGTTGGCGTTATTAAAGTACTTCATGTTGAAACAATTTTGGAAAATGTGGGCGAGGGGTTGTTGCATGCATGTATTTCTAGTTAGAGAGAGAGTATGTTTTACTTAAGTTGCTCTTTCATCTCGGAGCCAACGGCGCGGAGCGCCGTTCTGGGCGAGTAAGCCCGGGGCGAGCGTACTAATTCCGCCCGGCTGGGAAAGAAAGGAAAGCATTTTTAGCGTTCTTAAGTCTAAAGTTCATCAATGATCACGGGCGTGGGTTACCGTGCGTGGTTCGGTGTTGGGTGGGTGGTCATCACTGATCTCATAATATAGGGGACTGCATTATAACGACTGCATGGCGACAGCGAAATAGCAAACATTTCTTGCTTTCATGATTTCTTACAAATATATTTAATTTTTGCAAGATTTTGTAAATTTCAAAAGCTTTTTGAGAAAAACAAGGCGACAGAATTTCTGCAAAATCAGTTTTATGAGTAAACTATATTTACGCGAAACTACCTTGTTTTTACAAGGCTGCACGATTTTCACCTCTATTATTGTAACTGCACATTTGCTTTGTGCCTTCAAAGAACTTAATATTTCAAAATCTATCCCTAAACTACAAATTAGACAACAAGACAAACGCCCGTATTCTAAAAGCTCACTCACACTCACACTCAATGAGTGGAGGTTCAATCTGAGCTTCTCTTGAGTGTCAATGCTGTTTTTGAATAGCTGGAGAGCTAGTAGTCACAGTGAGGTATAACATTAGCCCTCCAGCTATTCAAAAACAGTAATATGACGCTCAAAAGAAGCTCAGATTGAACTTGCACTCATTGAGTGTGAGTGTTTATCCCATACCTGTACATGTGTTAAAAGCGGCTTTCTGATTGGTTTACAGCAGGTGAGCTTGTCGTCGAGCTCACCTGCTTTTTGCCGAACTCACCTGCTTTTCGCCCGAACTCACCCGCTAAACTGCTTACGTTGCAATAACAATAACAAATGGCGGACAAGATTTAGCCAATAAACCTAAACTTTAAAGAACTTTTTTCGGTGACTAACATACTGAGACTGAAGAAAAATCAAAGAAAAAATGCAGTAAAGGTAATGTAGACGTAGATAAAGAAGTATTTTCTTGCCCAGTGATTTTTTTGGCCGGGAAAATGTTCACAAAACATCGACGAATATATCGCGAAGAGCTACAAATGTGTGTATGGCTCGGTGTATGGGATAAAAACCAAACGTACTTGCAGGTTCGTTGAGTCCGAGATTGGACGCACCTTGGGTGGCTGGAAGTTTTCCGGACTCACCTCCCTGCAAGTACGCTTGTTATAAAACTCAACATGATTCGTGATCAAGTATTCATTCTATATCTATTATTTCTATGGTCTGCACCTAACCATCCACACGGGTAAGTATCGTGACGACAGATATACTTGTGAAGTTTTTATGAGTTTCTCGTGGTATGTTGATCAATTTGATTGTTAGTCACAAAAACTTTATCAAACGCCACTGGGTAGCCATCCTGCAACAAAACTGCTCCCAAACCTGTAGGTGACGCATCACAACTAATGGTGACCGGCTCCGATACAACAAAAAACTTTAATACTGGACCTTCTCTTTGGTGAGAGTGTCATTAATATCCTGAAATGCTTTCTGTTGCATTGCTCGAAAGACCACTGGTCTTGGAATTCGATCTCTTTCTTCAACAACGATCTGATTGGTTTGGTAAGGGTTGCTAAATTTGAAATGAATTTTCCTAAATAGTTCACAGTCTCTACACACCTTTTTTGTCTGTTGGTGCTTCCATTTCATTAATAGCTTTAACTCTCGCTTCATCGGGTTTAACGTCATTTTCTATCAGTTTGTGTGCGACATATGTGATTTCTCTGGACTTGAATTTACATTTCTCTTTGTTTAAGGTAGATTAATCTTCTCACATCTTTCTAGGACTGATTCGAGGCGTCAACCATGCTCTTCTTCTGTCGTCCCGTGAATAACGATGTCGTCAATATCCGTTTCAACACCTTCGAGATCGTAGAAATGTTGATGCATCCTTTTCTGAAAAACTTCTTGTGCTGAGGTGATACCAAATGGAGTGCAGGTGCAGCAATATCTACCAATAGGACTGTTGAAAGTGGTAAGGAATTGACTTTCCTCGTCCAAGGGCATTTGCCAGTATCCATAATTGGCGTCTAGTTTGGAGAACCACCTGGCTGGCATTGGCCATACGTGTAGTGATATCTTCAATTCTCGGTAATTGAAATGTTCCCGTTTGATTGCTTTGTTTAGTTTTTTGGGTCTAAACAAATGCGAAATTTTCCGTTAGGTTTCTCCACCACAACCATAGAACTTTACGAATTACGTTTTTTCTTTCCATATCATCAAGTCCCTCTTTCAATTCACACTATTGCGAAGAGCAGCTGGAATAGTTCTAAAAGGATTAATGACTGGTGTTACTGTTGGATCAACTTTGTTGTGGTATTCATTCTCTAAACGACCCAAACCAGTGAATATTTTTTTATGTTTCTTGATTACTTCTTCTTTGAGATGTGCTGGTGATTTTTTGGCAGTTCAGTCTACTCTGGTATTTCCTACGATTTTTATCACCCGAGTTCCTGAGCTACTGATTTATGTTTACAACATAGAATGTTAAGTAGATTGATTTGTCTTGGATTCTACACATAGTTCTGTAGTTCCTAACACAGCAAAATCGTTAATACAGTGTAACTGATTAATTTATGAGTTGATTCTTTGAGACTTGGTTGGGGCTTAATCCTCTTCAATTGATTAAAATTGAGAATGTTCACCCTCTAGCCATGCAGTGTCCACTTTGAGCTTCGTATTCTGCTTCTCGATTTTCGTAGTAGCATACCATTCATCATTTTTGAACGCCTGATGTCACTGCTCCTACAAACAGTGTTAGTCTTCAAGGTATGAATCTTCTTGTCGCTCTACAACATTGACATTCTTTTTAGATCGCACATACAGTAGCTTTGAAATGATTCCATTTATGACAACGATGACACGTTTTCCCATATGTAGGACATTCTTTCCTCTTGTGTTAAGTTCCACAGTTACGACGGTTGAACACCTCAGACGTTAAAAGGTTTCTCTGGTCGATTGGATTTCTTTGAGTTTTCCTCTTGAGCGTTTTTCTCGGTAAATTTATTTTTCTTGTGATTTATACCATGTACCACTGACTCGTCGTCGATTACTTTGATGTGCATTTCCGTTCGTTCTGCAGCTCTAACCAAATCAAGTGCTTTGCCAAGGGTTAGGTCTGGCGATCAAAGAAGTCTCTAACGAATTTTCTGATTTTTCACTCCAAGGACTATTCTGTCCTTGATGAGAGTGTCTCTTAATGTCCCAAATTCACAGGTGTCACTAAGCCTTTTCATGTTGAGACATACTGAACAATGGTTTCACTGGTTTCTTGTGCTCTGGTGAAAAATATGTATCTTTCATAGGTCACGTACGTTTTTTCTTGACTCACAATGTTCATCGATTTTTTCAAGAACTTTTGCTATCTTCTTATCATCTCCAACTGTAGCCCACACGAACGTGTCGTAGACTTCCAATGCTTCGTTTCCTATGACGGTTAGCAATGTTGCGACTCGAGTTGCATCCTTCTTTTCACTGATGCCAGTTGCTATTTAAGTACTTGAGATACCTCTGCTTGAATTTTTCCAGTTTTCTGATACATCTCCACTGTTTGGATCCAATGTTTGAGGCGGTATTAGACCGAAATGCATCGCCATTGTTTACTTTCGTTGCTGAAACTTTGATCTAAGATTTCTCCGAGAAAACTGCTTCTTTCTTGAAAATGTTTTGATATTTAGTTAGTCCGACTGTTAGACTAATATCTCACTCCTGACACCATGTTATATTTCGATTTTAAAAGCCAAGATTGATTGCGATTGAAAAGTATATGTTATTAAATCTCAGGAGATAAACAATGTCAGTTACAGAGATAACTGGAGACATGAGCGGATGGGCCCACGATGCTTGCATGGCAGATAATTAAAACACGCTAAATCATTACATCCGCGACCTTTGCCCTTTGGTTTGCCCGTCCAATGCTCTGCCAACTAGGCTACGAGATTAAGTCGGTTCGCGTGGGTGATATTTCGGAACTTAGTCTAGTTCCTTCGATATCAATATGTTTCTACGATTAACTTGCCTGGTGTGGACACACTCCGAGCAACATGTGACAAACATTCACCTGAGTGGGCAATACCAGAAACAAAAATTCAATAAGATGCTTTTTCTTGTCTTGTTTTCCTAATTTGGACTATTACAAAAATTGCACAGTGCGATTTTTAAAAGAACGCACTGCTCATGGGCCAATCAAAATTAAATCGAGTAATTATATTTTTCATGTATAATATTAAAAATGTTACATCACATCAAAAGCTCATTGAGACCAGCATCTCTTATCCGTTTCGTTTGAAGCGCGAAGTCCTATACTGTATACGTCTCTACCATGAAATGTTTAATAAAATGTTGACAAATCATTAAAATTGATTAAAATAAGCCGGCTCTTTGTGCATGAGTTACATGCACTTAGGCCTGTTCTAAACGTCGCATTTTACATGTGCCAAATGCATTCAAAACCATAGATAATCAGCTGAAATGCCTCATTATCCATTGTTTTGAATGCATTCGGCGCATGTAAAATGCGACGTTTAGAACAGGCTTTATACACAATTTATTTATAAAAAGCCGGCTGATCCTTAAGTGATTCAGAATTGTAAATCAGTTCGGCGAATGAGATTGTTTATATTACCGTTAAATAAAAATGCACATATGTAATCATGTTTACCAATTATTTTGGTGAAATGTTTATTGCGTTTTTCAATTTACAATAATTTACGTCTGAAATTAAATTGAAAAAGCTAAACAAGTGCTCCAGGTTTTTTTATTTTAAAGCTCCGTACATGCAAACGAACGAGCATTGTATTAAGAAAGATACCCAAAATTCAAAATATTGATAATACGTAAACTCCCTCTACGTATAGGCTACACATGCATACATGACTCATGAAAAAGGATCGAAACTCGTCAAATTACGTGAAAATAGATTACTATTTTGCAGTAGTTTTTATCTGTCATTCTACTCTTAATTATAAACTAGGAAAATTATTTGCTCCGAAATTTTTGATTTCCAAGAAAAAAAGTTATAGGTAGAATTAGAAACAATTCACTGCGACCTTCAATAACAAGGTGTGAAGATACATGTTCTTTAATTTACAACACTCTATAAATATCAGTATTGTAAATAGGTATGCCTCAGTTGCCTCCATCACGCAGACGGTCATCCGCGCTGCACCCGTCTGCGTTACGAAGGCTAGTAAATCTAGTAGCAGGCTGCGAAAAGATCAGAAGGAAGGTTTGTACTAGATGACGCCACTCCGAGTGACTCCACACCGGAATCGATAAGTTGATCCGGGTGTGAATCGAACCTGATGTCTTTGGCTGCTATACCAGCGGGTTTGGAGTCAAGTATTTTTTTAGTTTGCCCGGAGCGTCATTGCATGAATGTTATTTCCGTCATCTTTATTTATATCTCACTTCTCATACTTTCACATATCTAAAGTTTGAAGAAGTCTATTTTCGATAGCTATACAGCGGCTTAACGCTTTGATTATTAATTCTCATGCATTGTGTAGATAAAATTATAGTATTCAGCATAACTATACTTAACATTATTGTGAGCGAACCCGAACTCCATTGACTAGCTATTCCCATTCTACTTTATCTCCTATGATCTTTATTAGTTCGTCATTCCTTTGACTAAATGTAAATTCTACTGCATGTTTTACCATTGGTTCGCTTTATCAGATCAACCAGATCTTCAAGCTCTATTTTAGTGAAATATGTTATAATAATACTTTAGTTACTTTTTGACCACCTTAGATATTGTGACAATCCCCGTACTTTTGCGTGAAACAATTTTTTTAACGAGTAACTGTTTCGTATTTTAGTTTCTCCTATCCCGTGCTGTAGTTAACTTCTTTTTCTAGTAATTTATTTAGTTATTTATTGTCACATAGGGCCCGCAGTAATTGTAATTAGCCTTCTGCTGTTGCGGTCTTCCTGCTATATTTTTCTTATATTTTTGCCGGCGACATTTTTAATTGCATGTAAGACATCTTTTATGGCCCATCCAATGAATTGTAAAATTGTTAAATAGAACTAATTACATACGCCAGTAACTTTAAGAATTTTTGTTAATAAGTTTGTATAAAAGGTGTCGAAAAGCTATTCTATACTCTTTGCTCCGAGTTGCATAAATGATTGGGTTCACGAGAGAGTTTACTCCAAAGATGTTGACGGCAACAAGATATACACTTGTTGGGAGACAGTATTTGCAAATGTTGAACCTATCAACAACCGCAACAAGACCACACGGGAAAGCGCAGAGAAGCATAGCAACCACAATAATTGCGAATGTTTTGATTTGTTTTAACTGCTGTAAGTAACTTTGCCTTCTGCTTTGTATTTCGTGGTTAACAGAGGAAGATGACACACCAGAACAACTTTCACTTTTAATTCTTCTTCTTTGATTCCTTGCCACTTTATATATTTTGTAATTGAAGCTCAGTATTCCAGTGATCGGTATGTATACATCAAATGTGAAGAATATTATAACAACAGACAAAGGATTTGTGCAATAAAAAAGGCGGGTATCTTTCCCGGTATTGAAATATACAAAGCTTATGTTAACTATAGCTAAAAGCCAAATGATGGATAGTACAACATACGTTCTTGCCCAAGTCATAATCATCGGATATTTTAGTGGTTTACTTATGTAGATAAATCTATCAATTGTTATTGCCAGTAGATTAGCTATCGACAATGCACCGCCTGTGGAAAGAGTTGTAAATCCAATCTTACAAAATAAGTCATGAACTATGCAGCTCTCACCGACAGCGACCGACGCAAATTCAATAATCCATACGGGATAGCAAGTACAACAAACCAATAAATCAGTAATTGCCAAACTGATCACAAAATACGTCGTAGGTAACTTGGGATTGATCGCAAAAACATTGTAAAGAATAACCATAGTGTTGCCAATGACACCAATGATTATCCCTAGGCATTGTAAACTGACCATAGCTATGAAAAATCCTGGAGGTGGCAAATAGTCGTGTGTTGAATTTGGTAGAACCATTTTTGCCACAAAAGATAAATAAATATCAATGCAATAATATTAT